AAGCTTAAATATCTTACGCGGAAGAATCCCGCGTCCATTATCGGAGAAAATTGATAATAACAGCCGCCGATGAGAAAGACGTGTGTGGCGAGCCGGATGGAGGGTGCGCCTCTGCAGGAAGGAACAAGCAATACATCTGCTATAATGACCGCGGAGAGGCGGAGGATAAATCCTCACCTGTTGGATAAAATTAAACAGTTTTGCATTGAAATGTGTACTCTAGTTAAAGTGCTACGGTGTCAACTCTCAATAGCAAATATACTTATTAACATTAAAACCTCTCCTTACACAGAATGACCCCTGACTGTTACAGAATCACGAATGTTATGCCATAGGCTTATAATTATTGATGCATGAATGTGTGAGCAGAATTTTAATGTAGTTAGTCAAAGTGGGGACAATCTTAACCTCATAAACTGCTGCGTCGTTGAATCTATAACATTGCATCATACTTTATTTGATGATCATGCTTTTTGCATATACAATCAGGATTTGCAAATTAACCAGTGTTTATAGTAGTGAAATAAATGTAGTGGTATAAAAAGAGTAGCCTAATCATTCTCTCTGAGATGTAGTAGAGAAGAAGTATGGGATAGCTTAAAATGGACATACTCAAGTTCAGTTACTCAAAATTGCACCAATATGAATGCACAAGGTTGAGCAATATACAATAATCAATGATGTTTGGATAAATAACATTTTTATTGTTCAAGGTCTGATTCAAAGTACACTGCATTTTTATACATTGTTTTTCAAAGTTAATAAGGCTTCATTTGTTATTGGTACTCATTCATAACCAAAATCACACTGCTGGCAGAAAAGTAAAATAAAGGCTTCTTGTTAGATGCCACAGCAAGGGTAGTGGGGTTGCATACAGTGTGTGATTTTCACTTGATAGACTATACTATAAAAGACTGTCTCATAAAACAGCCAGAATACACGATGTGTCAATACAGTCCAGTGTTAACTGAGCCAGTCATTTCAGATGATCCTGGTATCAAAGTGTACGACAGATTTGTTACTTTAAATATGCAACTGGTCCATTTTGTGTTAGACATTGTAATAGACATTGTAACAGACTACTGTGTCCATGCATGCAATGACATTTGAAAATCTCTAAAGCTTAAGAAGTAAGTAGTTTTCTGTTCCATCTGAGGCAACATACCCATGTGTAAAGTGATGCTTATACCATGATAACAATTAAAAACAACAAAGATGGAGAGAAGGTTTGACAGTATATTATTCCCTGAAAAAGACTGTGTGCTTGTGCGCATGTGTATGACGTCTCACTGTCCACTGTAGATTGAGAGGTTCTGACTGAGAACTCCCACTTTACAAACAGTCCCTGGCTCATTACTGTAATGGTCCAGAGTAACACAGGATAGTGGTTGACGACGTCTGAAAGTGAAGTGAAAGATAGTGTATTGTTGGTAAATGCAGGCTGAAGAAAAGTCGGGGGTAGGGCATTGGTCCGTCTTTGTGGAGCAGGTTTTGCTAGCTGACTGGCAAACCCTCATTGGTCCTCTTGTCTCGAATGGAGCGCAGCATGTCTGACACGAGTTCTTCGAGCCCGAAGGCCGGTGCCCAGCCCCAGTCTCTCCTGGCATTGGTGTCATCAAACCTCACTGGCCAGCTGTCTGCTGCAAAGTGACAGAGATGACCACATTAGCCCCATCACAACAAGATTAAAGATAGCAATATCAGTCCCACTAACGATTTTCAAAATAAAAGAAGATAAAAAATGCTTTCAGGTCCATCCAGGAAAGTCTTACAGATTGAGCTTTTTCTTAAAATGTCACACACTTTAACAAGTTAACAGTGAGCAAATCACCAGTAATGTTGCAATTTTAGTCTTGAGAGTTAAAGTTTTTGTCCTTTAATCACAAACACCAACAAGTGAATACAAATCAAATTTTATCAAAACTGACCTATGGATTAATAGCCTCAATCAATATAATCTTTTCATATAGCTGATTTTGTGTCATGTCAGTTGGACCCCCACTTTGCCAATTCTAATGTGTGTCATCCCACCCAGATTTTGTATGAAGCTATGTGTACCACACGCGTTGAGACATACCGATGGTCTGGCGGACAGAGTCAGGATTGTAGGTGACCTTGAGGTGAGGGAGATGCTTGCGGATTTCTTGGGCCACCTCCTCTGGTGTGAAGCTCATGGCAGCGATGTTGTAGGTGCGCAGGGACAGCTGGCACTCTGGAGCCTGCATGAACTCTACTGTGGCACGGTGGCAGTCAGAGATATGCATCATGGGAAGACGTGTGTCGGGTCGCAAATAGCACTCGTGATGACCTGTGCTGAGAGCATCGTGGAAGATTTGAACTGCATAGTCTGTGAAGACAGAAGTCCAGAGTGCTTAGTCCATAAGATCCATCCATGTGCTGAATATACACTGTGTTGATATGCAGATGTTAAATGATGCAATACCTGTTGTTCCTCCTCCAGGAGGTGTGTTGACTGATATCACACCTGGGTAACGTAGGCAGCGGAAGTCCAAGCCATACTTATGATGAAGATACTGAAGAAAGAGAAGCGGATTGACATGACACATCTCCAATGGAGTCTCTGTATGTGTGTTTGGATTTTTAAGATCATTTTACCTCCCCCATCAGTTCTCCATGCACTTTGGACACGCCATAGATGGTTCGAGGTCTTTGCACACAGAGGTCAGGGGCCGGGTCACGTGGAGAAGAGGGACCAAATGCTCCAATGGTGCTTGGGACGAAGAGGCGCAGGCAGTTCTCCAGGGCCAAGTCCAGCACATTATGAAGGCCTAGATCAGCAGAAAATCCAAAGTTCAACACAATAATCCCTGAAAAGGTGGTATATGTAAATGCTGTGTGCAGTCAAGCGGACCTGTGATGTTGATCTTGCGTGCCAAAGCCACATTAGCCTCTCCCACAGCACTGAGCAGAGCGCTGTAGTGGACCAGCCAAGTGATACGATTATTTACAATCAGTTCTCGGAGGTGTTTGTAGTCCAGCACATCAGCATACACAAATGGACCTGATGACAAGAAGAGGAGGTGAGGACTTCATTTAAAAGCATTAGCTGTTTATTCTGTGATGTGTGAAATGAGAAATATATGAATTGTATCAGAAAAACAGAAAACAAAAAGTCATATAACTTGAATTAGGTTTTGCATACCACTGCTGAAAACATGAGGTGAAGGCTTCTTGATGTCTGAGAGGATTACATTCTCTGTTCCATACTGTTTTCTACACATGAATATAGATATGATGATGATGACACTCAAATTTCATATTTTCACAAACTTTGATGTCTCAGGAATTTCTAAATATCTCACCTCAGCATTTGTGCAAGCCCCACACCTAACTGTCCAAGGCCACCTGTATACAGAGACAATTTTAACATTTTATCTCTGCAGAAAAACAAATGGAGTTTGATATGAAAATGAAATCAATGTTTTTGGTGCACCATGCTTCAGCTGAAAAAAAAAAAAAAAAAGCTTTTTGTTTGTTCCAAAGCTTTATCCTGGGACAAAAAGTGACAGCAGGGTATTATTCTCCCCACAGTGACTCATTGGCTCTTTTATATCACTAGCACTGTCTGCATGCACTCTATTGTGAAGAGTCAAAATGGGGTCTTGCTGCTGGTGCACAGTGAAAACAACTCGAAAAGAAAAAAACGACTGCACGTCTGTAGTATTCCACTCATGCCATTGATAAGACATTGATATGAATCCTTTCTCCCAATACTATCACATTTCATATTATTAGAAACTTGGGATCTGAGTGTTTTGCACCACTATTGGATCCTTTAAAAGTTGCACTTGTGTAACGCATTCTGCCCCTATTGTAGCTGCTCTGCGGCCAATAGTACAACCCACAGCCAACAGTGACTCCACAGTGAAAGTGGTAGAAAGCAATGGCAGCTTCACAGGTTCAGTGTTTGGGTAGCTGTGGAAAAAAAAACAAAACACATCTTTCCCTGAATATATAAATAAATGTCAGATTGAAGCAGCTTTTGCGTGCGAGTGACAGACAGATATTTGTGTCACCTGTGATGAGAACACGAGGGTTTTCCTGAGGAGGTGGGGGGCTGCAGGTCTCCCGGCTGTTCCACCTGCTCATCTGCCTGGGCAAAGACCTGAAGCTGCGACTGGGCGAACTCTGCACCCTGCTGAGGCAACCTCGGCAAAACAGGCCCAGCACAGCCGCAGTGGGCGCACAGACCAGCACACCCGGTTGCATGTCCAATAGCAGTTCTTTAGGAAGGTTAAACTGAGCTTAATCACACTGTTCTGATTACACAGAACATAATAATCTTAAAACAGCTTTACAGACGCAGATTCAACTAATATAGATGGAAAAAAAATACATTACCTGTGTGCTGACAAAATCAGAAATCCCAGACAGATGATTCTTGATCCAACACCAGCAGATGCAACTTAGTACATCCAAAACTACTCCTCTAAACTAAATTGCAAAACAAGAGGCGATAAGACAGCGTTTGAGGCATTTACGTGTTAGAATGAAAAGATTACCATCCGATTGGTCACCGTTTCAGTTCACCCAGTAACCACTGGATAAATAAGCAGCTATAGAAAGTCATGCTGGGCTATGTGGTTCTTGTCCACTTTGTGTAATCACCAGGGCTTGTGGCTCTTGACTGAACAGGACTACAGTCTCCAGCTTGCAAAGCTCCGTGTGTGCAAACATGCTGACTTGCTGTGCACAGGGATTTGCATTGTGAAGAGTGTTTAGCTGAGCTTAACAGGACTGGGAGGTGTGTCAGTTACACAGCCTTCTTCTTTTGATAATATTTATGAGTGAATATTTGCCAGAAAATAATCATCCCACTGGAATTATGCAAAACACAGGCTATAATTAGAGAAAATTTAAGTCGTTTTTAAAGCAGTGAAATATGATGTGAAATTATAGATGGCTAAAAGCCTCAAATGACACCAACAATTAAGTTTTTTCTAATATTATTTTATGAAAGAATAAAATATACTTTACATTAAATCACTGCAGGTTATTAAGGATTCTGAAAACATTCCCAGAGTCAAAGGCATTGCACATTTTAAAGTTCCTCATTAAAACATGTTCAACATGTTCAGACTGATCATCTTCACATACTCATACATGTTGGACGGTTTTATCAGTTGAGTGCCAGCCTCCCCCACGCAATGACCATGTTTCTTATTTCCTCCTGAGCCTCCTCCAGGTGACGAGCCTGTTGAGTCCACCTCAGAAAATAGCCTGAAGATCAGACATGGGCTTTAGTCAAGACTCCCCAAAGTTATCAACACTTATGCATACAACACTAGCGAAGGCACTGCAATTATATAAGAGGCTACAATACTGAATGAATGATAGTAATGATGCTAACTGACAGGTCAGAAAACACAAGGTCAGGTTTGAATGCATCTGCCAATCAAAGCTCACCTCTCCAGAGCTGCAGGGACTGAGGGTGGACTGAGGGCCAGATTGCCAGCTCAGTGCGCTCATACAGGGGGTTGGAGTAACGCTCTCTCTCCTCGGGCCTCAGCAGGGCCTGGAACAAACAGTGAGTCTTCTCCTTCACTCCTAGAGAGCACCTGAGAGAAGGAGAATGAGGTAACGTGACGCACGTGAAGATAAAGGTTGGTATGACACAGAAAGTTTTGTGTCAGCCATTGATTCCAAATGCCAAGCACCACGGACCTCTCCTGGTCGCTGTTACAGAGGAAGGTGCCGTAGTTGGAGGCGTAGGCCTCAGTCGCCAGCCTCAGGAGCAGCGCCTCGGAGAAGCCCAGAGCCAGAGGGAACTGACGCCACAGTTGCCACACACAGTCCAGCAGCAGCAGGAAGACCGGGGACTCCTGCTGGAGACGAGCGTGGGAGTGGGCTGAGTGGGCACATCGCTGCTGGAACGGGTGTCCTGCCTGAGAGAGGAAATGCACACAGTACATACACAGGCACACTGAGTTCTGTGGCAGGCTGAATGTAGTCTGTGAGGCAAAACCCAGGGGAAAAAAAAATGGCTGTGGCACTTGCAGCTGTTAGTTTGTGGCTACTTTGAGCGTATTGTAATGGCCTAACTGAGGGGGAGTCAGACGACCATATCAACATTTTTATGGACTCAGATCTTCTCTCATCTGGAATATGCTGTTTGGACTGTCAGAGGACAGTGACCAGAGAGTTTAGTAAGAAAATCAACCTGAAAAATAAAAGTGAGGGGGATAGCAGCAGGATTTTGAAAACTGAGGGGTCGTCACGGGTAGTGTTATATCCTCCTGTTACAGTGCATATCATATACTGTATATGCATATCTCTGTTGTTTCTATAACCCACTGTGTGGCCAACATTTATTCCAACAGGTCTTTCCAAAAAGGATATCTTAGCGTCTTCCCAATCTTCTCATACACACACATACACTCACCTGTACCCACTCCCTCTCCAGCAGAGCCAGGAACCCCTCCAGTGTGCGGCAGCATGGGTCCATGATGAGCTGAGCCACAGTGCTGATGAGCAAAGTGGAATCTGTCCCTTCAGAACCATGAACCAGAACCGAATGACCGTCCCTGGACAAAATCAACAAACACAGCACAGTTTTGTAACTCTATATGCATAAAAGTCACGCGTGCATTTATTTCAAATCAAAACAACGACAGAAAGTGCTGCTGTCAGGATTTAAATGCTTTAGTTTTGTCTTTGTTGGTGTTGTCATTATTTGTTCAGTTGTCCTGACATCCTTAGTGTTGTTCCTTATAGTGCTTTTTATAAAAATATGCATTTGAGTTCCTTCAGGCAGTGTACTGCACCGTACCTTTGAACATTTGGCACATTTTTGTGCCTTCTTGTCTGCACGTCTATAGGAACATTTCAGTACCCCTAGAGACAAAAAGGTACCTTTATGTCCTGGTACAAAACTATACCCAGTGGAAAGGTACAGAATTGGTACTTTATGAGGTAAAGTTGGAGCGACACGTCATTTTGTACCTTTATGAGGTAAAACATACCCCTACATTCAGAGACAAATCTTTTAACAAAATTAACATTTTATATGTAAACTAATCCATTTTCATAGCATTTCAATGTATTGTTCTGATTTGTCCTTAAAAAGGTTCCAGCACATGACAAAAAGCGGTGCGTCTCAACATTAAGCTGAAGCATAAGACCTAAGGAGGCATTCTCTAATCACTGAGTGCCACCAAGCAAAATTTCATTTTGGTTTCATACAGAAAACAGGAACAAAGTTAGGTAAAATTACAAAATGCAAATTCATGACTCACATACTGTATTAGATTCAATTAATTCAGTGTTTTAACACTGTCTTTATGAGCCTGGCTCATGACCCTACAACATCATCAAAACCATTATAACAATGTAAAGACTAGCTGAAATCACTAAATGTACACCCTATACACCCAGCTATGTTGTTCATGAAGATGATAAAAATTATTCCAAGAATTGAATGGGAATTGTCACCTATTCTATTACAACAAACCCAACTCTCTATTTAAATCAAGATTTTGTAATCACTGATCTGCAGCATCATCTGCCTGTACTTTAATCTTGTTATATGTACAGTTATGTACCCTTTGCTGTCAGCAATGATTTTGTATTGTTTTGTAAGTTCCACAGTTATCAGCCCAGTTATCACCCTAAGGAGCATTTCAGGACCTTACAGGGTACTTTTCTGAAAAATGTACATTAGGGTACAAAAACGAAACCCTTATTTCTCTGTGTGTACAGTTTGAATTAATGACATCTTTCTATTATAGTATTCAAACATTAGTATTTGAGGATTTTACTATCCTCCTGTAATGTTTTATTTAAGTGAGAAAAAATTCTTCACAGACAGATGCATTTGCATACAGCTCACCAACTGTAATCCCACCACAGACACATAAGATGTGTAAGATCCTACCTCTCCACACACTCTGCCAGCAGGCCAGCAGTTGACAGAGCAGTTTGGACGCGAGACAGCCACTTTGAATTCTCGAGCTTACTGAGCCAACGGTCCATATTATGGGACTCGTCACCACAGGCCTCCACCAGCTTAATTAGACTCTCCTGGAGAGCTTTACCTCTGTTGACACACATATGTAGGAAATGGTGAAAGATCAGTATCATAAAACGATGAACAGCATCCACTCCTAGTACACGTTTCTTATACACACACCTTTCCACCTGTCTGTGTAGTCTCTTCCAGCGGCTGTAGCACGATTTGGACTCAAACCCTCCACCTGTCATCCGGACCTGCTGAGCCTGCTGACTGGAGCGGGTGTCAATAATGTAACCTTTGTCAGAGCCGTCAATCACAGCCTCGAGGAGGAGCTCATCTTCCCTGCAGCGCTTCCTATTGGCCCCCGTCAGCGGCTGACTGCTGCGCATGATTACCTGTAAAGTTTTAGTTTGGTCAGAATTGTTTGGTAGCATGTATAAATTGTAGGCTAGAGGAGGAACACACAAGCCTCTCACCATGCCATTCTTCCTGTGGTAGTAGCAGAGCACGGGGAAACGCCCCCCCTGTCTGAATTTGGCTGCTTTTACCAACATGTCATCATTTATGTCCTTGGGAACGATGACAGCTGAGGGGTAGGTGGGACACACTGAGTGTTCTCTGTTCACAGTGCTCAATCTCCACCTATCATGCTGCAAACAGAGGAGAGAGAAGGTGATTAACACTAGTCACACAAAACAAATAACTAATGAATTACTGAAAACAGCAGTTCCCTGGTTGGAAAATTTCAACTTCATGATATTAATGTCACAGGAAACAGCTCTCATGTGGGTGGGTCTGCATGTGCTAACTGCTGACTTGTTCATTCTTAAAGACCAGGAGGGAAAATACATGTTTTGTTTCACTTTTGGCTACTGATTGGTCACGTCATATAGGTATAAAATGACAAAACTGCAACATGGGATCCCATTCTGTAATGCAAACTTGTACGTGAAGCTAATACGTTTTCCAAAGAAATAGCTTTGAAGAAATAGTTCAAATGTTGTGAAATACACCGACTCGCTTTCTTGCAAAGAATTACATGTGAATATTGATACTACTTTCATGTCCAAAGAGTATATATCAAGCTGGAGCCGGTAGCAGATTATCTTAGCTTAGCTAAGACTGGAAACATGGGGAAACAATTAGCCTAGCTCTATATCATTGTTCTAATTAGCATATTTTTAGTCTTTACACTAAGCTAAGATAACCATCTGGGTGTACAGACACACCTGAGAGTGGTATTGATCTTGGTCTAATTCCTCACACCCCTAACCCTAACCATGTGACAAATTTTGACATTAAATTTTCTTTAAGAACAATCAAGAGTTACAGTTTACAATTTGTAGTTGTCAGCTACACAGGACAGCTCAACTCTCGTGGAAGTGGCAAGAAAGACAAAGACATGCACGCTCCAATCAGGTTCCACTAAGCCAGCCTGATGAAAAGTACAGATATCTCCCATGTTCTGGGAACACTGTGCCTGTAAAACACATGCAACAATGCTGCTGCCCTCAGGGTCCACCCCTCACCATAGCAACATGCTATTCCTAGAGGAAGATGTCTGTCTGTTAAGCATGAATACACATTATGTGCAGCACATTCTGAAGTTAAGGGAAAACAAATGAAAGCTAAGCAACAGGGATATCCTGAATCCTGACCCCTACATTCATTTGCCCCTGGCATTTTCCTGTCATGTGGGTGTTGGGTCACTGTTGGGAAAGGTTGCCTGTGAGACTTATGTGTGTAAATGTGTTTTATGCATGTGAAATTACATGTCTATACAGCAGCAACAAGTTTACAGAGATTCATCTGTTGCTTACGAGCTCTGTCACTTGACTGTAGAGCTTTTCAGGGGATGAGAGACCCCACTGGTCCTCCAGGCTGAGATCAGTAGGTCTGTAAAAGAAAGGATACATCTCCGACACACAGTCCAGACAGGACAGAGTCTACAGAGAGTGAGAAAGAGAATGTTGCAAGACATCAAAATAGATTGTTATCAGATTTTAAGCAGAGACCAGGTCAAAGAGGAAATAGTGAAAGATTTTGTATTCAAAAAAAGATGAGAGCCCATCACAAGACCAAATAATGATTTCCTCAACCTTTTGTACATTTCAGGGCTCAGTACGATTCTTGGATTAATTATTATACCTCGATAGAGCGTGCAATATTGAGACACTGCTCCATGCCTGGGATGTCAAGCTGTAGCACACGCAGATCTTTGCACTTGATGGTAATCGTTCCTGAGGATCCAGATATCCTACACACACACACACACACACACACACACACACACACACCACTATGACTCTTGCAAAAGAATGTAAACAAAACATGTATTTCTACCCCCCCCACCCCCACCCCCCAATGCTGCATGTCTTGATTCTTGCAGTGCAGAAAGTTTGACTTGCAGCAGAGAAGGAAGACAAACCCAGTCTGGGTGTGTGTGTGTGTGTGTGTGTGAGAGGGGGCTTTATATTGCTGACAAGTCAGTGTGCAACTCCTACTCTCTGTTACTGACCAAAAATATATCCAGTGGTTTCAGCAAGGCTTAAGCTTCTACAAGGCTTAAAAGCAAATAGCAAGCAACCCTCAACACAAGCGTGTGCAGGGTGACAGGAGAGCTGCTGTAATCTTGTTAGCAAATTTCATTCTCCAGTACTGTGGACAATAAGGGCAGCACAGAGCAGACACACTGCAACACAAATGATGTCCAACCTTTCACTGCGGCCTGCATTAGAGAAGAGGGCGGAATAGCCCAAAAGGTTTTCCACACTAGTAAAAAAAAAGATTTGAGGAATAGTGTAATTAGACATGAATTAGACATTAGATCATTCACTGGCACAGTAGAAGCAACTTGGTGATGGTTAGTTATTGTTGATTAGTGTGATTGATTATTTGTTTGATCATGCACAAGTCTGCAACCATACTCTCAAGAAATTAGTGCTTGAAAGATTCCTCATTAATTGATGTAATTAGACGCATTAAACATTATGGCTGTTGATGGATTCCTGTTGACTCAAGAGACGTGTTGTTGTTTTGACCGACTTCTACCGTTGCACATCATCGATGCAGTAGGAAACTAGACGACTTGGTAAGATGTACATTGTCACAGTTACGATGACCTCTCACTTCTCAGTCGACCTCCCTCACCTTTTCTCAATGGCATCGATGTTCCTGAGGAGCAGTAAAACCTGCCGGGAGCTGCCCTCCCCCCTGTCCGAGAAGAGCAGGTGGTGGCCGGTGATGCACAGGGTGCCCCTGCTCGGCGGGTGTAGGGGCTGTCGGAGCACAACATCCTCCACATTGGCGGTCTTGATGTGGTCAGAAAACTCCATCAGCTGCCGGTTAAAAATCAAAACCCACCGCTGGCGAACTTAAGTAGCACAGACCTCGACTTCAAATCACTTCCTCGCCTCTTCTGTAAGAAAATGAAAGCAGTGAGCCTCCTCTTCTGTCTACACCGCTGTTGCGCTCTGTTTGTTTGACGATAAGGAGGTTATAAATAGATTTCATTTTTCTGTGAACATACCCACCCAGCCTCTGGTGTATAGCTACACCTTCTCAAACACAGGATGGTCACCGAAATGGAAAATGTGTTGCTTGAGTTGACTGAAAACGGAAGTGCACGTTTCCTGAGTGACAGCAACACTGAGATGTGTCACACATTGCTGGTGAAAAGTTTTGTACATCGTGTGGGGGGGGGGGGGGGGGGGGCGAGGGGGAGGGGGGGGGGGGGGGGACAGAGAGAGAGAGAGAGGCAGCGGCGATGTGCTTGATAAATGACAGATGACCACTAGATGGCAGCATAGGCAAACAGAGAGCGAGCAGGTCTAAATCACGACCCACCGGTCAGACTTTTCCTGTTTTGTGCTGCGGTGGAGGAACTGCTTGAGTCTTTTACTTTACTTCTGCATTCAATAGCTAATGGAAGTATTTAGAAATGAAAGTACTTTTACTCATGCAGAATGCCTCATTTTAATAAAAAAAAAGTACAAGAGTACAGTGGTGGACTGTAACCAAGTACATGTACTCAAGTACCGTGCTTCATTTGAGGTACTTGTGGTTTACCTGTATTTCCACTTTATGCTACACTTTATCCTTCCACTGCACCATATTTCAGAGGAAAGTGAAACTTTCCATGTCCCTGCACACGACATGTATTGACTCTTTGCTGATTGCAGCTTTTGCAAAACACATGGCAGGCTTATGAAATTGTAGCCCACGCATTGTGTTAGATTCAACTACCCAGGAATGTAAAGTAGTTCGATACAGCTCCACATCGACCAGCTACATTATACTGCTTCTTACACATGAATGCACTAAGCTAATAATGCAGTATAGGGTACAGAGAATAATAAAGCACTCACATTGGCAATTTTCCTGCATCATGTACTTTTAATTTGATTTTACTTAAATTGGTATTACTTCTGTATTTTGATTTAAGTAATAGTTTGAATGCAGAACTTGTGTTTTTACTTGTATTGGGGGCATTCTACACTGTTGTAGAAATACAACAGTAAAGAATCTGTCTGCTTCCTACACCACTGCTTGTTTAGAAATATGAAATAAGATAAAAGTTTGACAAAGCGACGCCCAGTCTCTCCTACAGTGTCTGGAGGAAGTTAAGGGAAATCTGTCTTCGTTCATAAAAAGCCTATAAATTCTGCAGCCTCCCTGTCCTCCGCGGGATGGGCGGTCACTGCTCCTTTTCTCCCTATAAAGGAGGTGAGGACCTGTTGCGCTCAAATCGCCAAGCTGCAAAAACCTACGAGCGAACTCAACGCGGATTTTCCAGGGACTGAGTTCTGTCGCGGTCTGACTCTCCTTCTCTGGAGCGATGGATTTTAAGGAGTTTGGAGATGAGTCCTCCGAGGGACGCGCTGAGGATCTGGACAGCGTGAAAGCGCTCACAGAGAAGCTGAAGCTACAGACTCGCAGACCATCCTATCTGGAGTGGCAGGAGCGGGTCCAGAGCCGACCGTGGAAGGAAGGCTGTCCAGCAGACGCTCCTGGCTCTGGGGGACAAGTCGTTTCCATGCCTGCGATTTTGCGAAATGAGAACTCAGAGCTGGTTGTGCGCAACATCTGTGGCTTCGATACTATTGATGATGCTTTGGAGTTTCTGAGAAAAGAGCTGGTGAGTGACAACCAATCATTTTATTTCATTTTATTTGACCCACATATATGGCAAATTAGTGTTATTTTTAGTGCAAATAACGTCATAAAAGTTGAAATTCCTTCATCCTGTCAAACCAAAAATCAACAATAATACCCATCTACACATAATAGATGTTCTATGTTCCAAAGATCTGTCAGTGATGTGCTCTGCATAAGTCAAGGCGTTGCATGACTGACTTCATGCAGTCATCTTTGCATAAACAAAGTCTGTGGAACAAACAGATGTCTGTTTTCTCACAGTCCCAGGATGCTGTACCCGTATATAGCACATACCAGTGATTAACACCCTTTGATGAGTAGATAAAACTATGATGAAAAAAAAAAAAGTTATCTAAATCCAAACTTCCACATATTTTCTGGTATCTCACTGATTCTCACTTTCTCCTCAACCTCCTTTGCTCCATCGTCCAGAGGGAGATGCAAGTCCAGGACAACCGTCTGGCCCGTCAGCTGATCCGTCTGCGAGGGGAGATCCACCGGCTGAAGGTGGAGCAGGTGTGTGACCGCCATAAGGAGATGCTGGACGATGCGACCTACGAGCTGGAGGAATGCGGAGAGGAATCAGACCTGCTGTGTGACATCCCCATGAAGGCCGCCTTTGCTCTGTCCACCCCTCTGAAACACCTGGGCCTCACCAAGATGAACATCAACTCCAGACGCTTCTCACTTTGTTAAAACAGTCAAGATGACTGTGAATGTTCCCATGGCTTCCTCTCTGGTGCTGTGGGCATATTATTGGGGTTATTTCCTCCTTTGAGGGTGTTTTGGTGACAGACTGAAGAGTGGCTGCCAACTACTGGTGCCAGGGGTGAAAATGAAAATAAACTCTTTAGATGTGCACAGTGGCTTGACATGCATGAGGAAGCTTCTGTGTGCAGACCTGTAGGGGCACACACCCTTAATAAACCAACACACCTTCCTGCTGGACGGAGCCTGGGCTGCTCCACTATTGACTGTTCTTTGCACAATGCACTGTGCATCAAAGTAGATGAAGACTAAGAGCAAGACTGAAATGTAATGATAGCTACGGGATGGGCATTATGTTATATATCTTATAAATATCACATCATTAGTAATTCACAGATATATAAAGTATAAAGGTGGCACATCTGGTTCAATCTGGTCTTATCAGATAAAGCAAACGTTAAGGGTTCAGTATCCTCACAGGAAGTCGGTGGTCGCACTCCTGCAGATTTATACCCCTTGTTCCTCACAAACCAAAAATATCTCTATACGCTCACCGCTGCAGTGACAGGACCCAGGAGGCTACAGTATGTGTGATGCATTTTGTTTTCCATTACCACAGTGCACATGCGGCAGAGCACAGATTGTAAGCTATATATGGCAGGATAGTGACGGAGCGGACTGAGGTGCTCAGTGGGCAGTTTAGGCCATGTTAGATGGTCTATTATATAACAAGTAAGAAGAGTAAAATATTTTTGTTGACCGATATTTTACATCTCTTGTAATTGTGTTAAATGTAAAAACATTTATGGACATTTTTATCACTGATATTGTTAAATCATGCCACTGTAATATGAATGTACATGACAAATGAGTTTAAAAGCAAAATGCCTTAAAATGTAAACGGCTATTTTTTTTGCATATACAACACAATATTAAAGAGAGTTTACTATGCCTGTCAGTTGTAAATTGTATTTTATTGGTACATCAAGAAGTTTAAAATGCAAGTTATTACATGATTGAAAAGTGTGCTACTATCAGTCTTACCTTGCCTAAATGCCACCACATGCCACATGATCAGATCCATCTCAGGTCATCCATCCTTGTTTCTTAAAGCCACCCGTGCACAATGGTCTCCTCTTTCCCTCCACAAGACATTCATGACCCGGTGTAATATCCACTCATATGAACGGAGCCCTAGGGGGATGTGCATAACCACAGACATTGTTGAGCATAATTAGTTGAACAAGAAACCAAATATGCCTTAGCAGAATGCGGTCACTGTGTGAAAATGAGAGCAAAAGTAGGATTGTTGAAATGATTGTAACATGCCATACTTCAGGACATGGGTGACCTCATTGTGTGACGTTAAACCTCGACAGTGGAAATTAGTGTTATATGGAGAATGCAGGTATGATACCTTGACGCTTTGTTCTTTAGTGAATGCTGAAGTGCTGCAGACTGGTGTGCCACTCCGCTCTGCCCCGCTCTTTCCCTTGACCCCCCCCCCCCCACACACACACACACACACACACACACACCACACCACTTGTCATCATATGAGCGGAAGCTGATATCCGTGTAAAATAAAGCATATACATCTATCAGTTTATGATATTTGAATTTGTTAAAGACTGTGTTTAAGTGTATGTGAGTAAGCGTCAGCAGCAATCGAGAGCCACACTTGCTCACATGAAAGAGGCCAGCACCTGCACTGTGAAGCGGGAGGTAGGAGGGCTGGAAAACTTTCTGCATATTGATAGCATCTCAGTTTGATTGCGTAACAGAATGCGATTTCCAGCCACATTTGGAAGTCGTGACAGCTGTGAATAGGGATACCCTTAAAGCCTGTCACAAGCTGAACTCCAAAGATGGCGAGGCTCTTTTATTTATGTCCCACTTGATCCACGATATTATTTCATCCTGTATCTGTACCTTTTTGTTTTCTAGTTGTTTTACAGAAATGAGCTCAGTAAGAGGTTCTGTAACAGACCACCGACTAAATGTCAAAAAGTGAAACAGCTCCACTCAGCCTCTTAGACTGCCACTCTAATTTAACAGTAAAAGACACAACTCGGTGGTTTCATCACGAGCGAGACTTAATCTAAGCTGTGGCAGTCTTCTAAGCACACATTTCCGTGCACTTCCTGTAATGTTTGGACTGACTTCCTGCCGGTGCATGCTATGTAGCAGCAGCCGTTCACCACAAGAGAAGAGATGCGGTCCACAGCTCGAGCTGTCTCTGAGGTAGAAAACACGACAGCTCAGGCTCACAGGGTGTCAGCAATCTGAGATACTTGTTATTTCACACACACACACACACACACACGCACACACACACCCCACTGCCCGAGGCTTAAGGTGACCATGATGTGGACTCCATTCAACAAAAAGCTTTGGTTAAAATAATGATTAGCGAGAGGGTCATGCACTCATTGTTGGTTTTTGCCTCTCTAAGTGAGATATCTTTTTTTCATATTTGATTAGTTGGTGAAAACAAGGCCGAAGTCTATTTTTAAATGCTTCACTGGCCACAGGCAGACCCAAACCACAAGTACGAGTGACAAAAATAGCCTTTGTTGTGCGCATAATGCACCTGAGGTTTGCAACCATTACACAACTGAATCAAAACAGTCCCACATGGTCTTACATATACATGGGACAATGGTCTACCTTTAAGACCAGTCTGATGAAATCCCCTCTCTTATCAAATACTCATACAATAAGATCTTTAGCCATAACCCTGGACCATCAACTCAGCCTCACACTGATGGTGTTCCTCACCTTAAAGGTCACTGACTAACAGATGTTACAAGAGCAACACAAAAACATGTAAATATAACCTCAGCCTACCATAGCCTCCTTTCTTAACTGTATTGGAACATTTACATCTTGGCTCCCACTTTGGGAAAGGTGCTGTCCTGACCCCTTTACCATGGAGCCCATAACGTTCCCCTCAGCTCACACACAGCTGCACAGTAAAGCACCTGTTAGAAGCCTGCAGAGCAACCCTCAACCTTTCAACGACAGGAAACTCTCTGGGTTGCTCTCCTCCACTCCTCCAAAGTGTGTGCTTGCGTATGTATGTATGTGTGTGTGTGTGTACAGATACCACATCAGTAATTCTAGCAGTGAGTTAGTTATAATAAGAGAAGCGGATGATGACATCTTCACACTCTGGCTCCAGTGGTGAAAAACTCACCTATTGCTAAATAGCTCTTTTAAAAAAAAAAAACAATTTAATTAAGAATATCTCGATGGCGGGACCTGAAATCTGACATCATTGGCTGCCTTAAGAGACATTTCGTATTTCAAGAGGTGAGTATCAAGCTCATGATTCTTTCACCGTTACAAAGGTTTAGAAATAACTGTGACAAAGGTAGATTGCCTAACATCAGTTTCCTGTCAGTATTATGTGTTATAGCAAATATCCTTCAGAAATCAGAGAGATTGTTTTTTGATCTTCTGACTTTTACATGAAATATACTGAAGTTTCAAAACTGACGTATAGAGAGGAGCAACATCCACACCCAAAAATAATGGCTAGAAATAACAAATATCAGCTAACAAGAAAATAAGCCATCCTTTGTTCTCATTTGTGTTGCGTGGTTTAACATAAAGGATTGTAACAACACATGTTCAGATACTGGTTGTGTTATTGTCACTGCTAATAAAAACTCAGTATTACAAAGAAGACGGGACGACATACGATCAACAGCAGACTTTCACATTGTAATAGAATATAGCCTGTATCTTATTAATCCAATTTACAAGCTTATAATTAAAAACAGAAGGAGGATTCAGGCTCTTATGTGTTTGTTAATTCACACCTGTGACATAGACATGTCTACATATGTGGGTAAAGGCAACTGGGTGTGAACTATAAATAGGAATTAAAATGTGAAGTGTAAAAATTGTTACTGTGATTTTGATGCTACTCTGAAAAAATTGTAGAAAAAGTCTTCTTTTTTTCCATGCAGGGATGTTGTCTCTTAGTTTATGGTGTTCTGAATGGCTTTTGAAATATCATAATTTATCAGCCCACAAGCTCCACTGACAATGCCAGTAAATTAAGACGAAAGACTTGGGGTTATTCTTATAGACCTCACTTAACATATACATACCCATAATACGTTGCAAACAGTAACAATCAACAGGATTTGTTTAGAAGGGTTTTCAGCTGCATGTCATAAAAATTAGAGGGTAGCCCCTCAGTGGAAAATGCTGACTTTGTTTGTGTGACTCCCAGTTTGTGGGCCAGTAGGCGTAGGAGTGCTGATAATTCAAAAAAAAAAAGAAACTTCTTCATACCCCTGTGATTCTCCTGTGATTCATTTCTTGGGGTCTCAGTACAGTGGTGGGTTGTTATTGCCGGGGTCAGGCCTCAGCAGATTTTTCTCATGGCTCTGAGCCTTTGGGACAGACGGCTGCTGCGATTAGCCCACTGACCCTGTTCCATGAGTGGTCCAATGGGAGCCCAGTGAGCTTGAGAAAGCCAGTTTGTACAGTGCACCACAATGCAGCGCACGTGCAGACGCTGGATTATACAAGATTAGTATTGGGACAGTTTTATAGAGCCCTCTAAGGCCTGTGGTTCGCAGCACGGAAAGTGGTGGTGCCACATAACATAGTTGTTTGTCATAGTTTAGTGATTGTATTAGACTACTGTGTGCATGTTTACACGGTGTCAGAAGAGTGTCTAAAATGAAAGATTTTAGAGCTGCTAGGCTCTGAGTTAAAAGCATGATTCACCACTGAGCCTCCATTTTGAGGTGAGGCCCTCACTCGCATCCGATTAAAGCAGTGCTCAGAAACAAAAACAATTTGTGTCTCCTGTTCGTGTTCTCCACTTGCAGACTTTAAAATGCAGCCATTTCTTTCCTGAAACATTTTTATTTATATTTATTTTTGTCGACAGTATTTAATGTGTTAGGCTGGTATGAGATTACGTTTATTTTTGGACACGATGTCTACCTAGAATGTTAGCCAAAGAGAAAATACTTTCACTGCTTTTAAAATATTAGTAACTATCATGTTATTAATGTTCTGATGCCCTTACAATACCTTTAAAATAATCACGCTAACCTCTAAATTGCAGAGAAGATGGGATGTAACTGCAGTTCGGACTATTCAGACAGTGACTGGATTGAGAACTTGGATGAAATCTGTGAACACTGCAACTGTCCCATACCCCCCCAGTCATGTAATCCAGTAAGTGAATACATTTTGTATGTGCAGTAGGCCTATGTATTTGTTTGCACATGTATATGTGTCAATACACCATACTGTATTATAGTTTATGAATGAGTGTTTGTGTGTAGCTTGACATGAATGAATTTGGGCTTTTGTGTAGATGAATGTGAACGGCCACTTGGGAGACATACACAGAAGCAGGCTGACTTATCTTACCAAGAGAATTCTAAAATACAATCTGCTATTGTATGTTTGAGTCCAGAAATATTTTATAACTTACATAACTGCGAGGGAAGTTGTCCTTTGTGTGTGTAATCGAAAGTGAGCGTGTTTATTCCCCCAATGTTTCCTCTCTGTGAGTTAGATGTCTCATTAGATTAAAATAAAGGAGAAAACCACCTGTATTAGCCACAACACACCGAGACACTTTGTCTGGGAGAAAAACCAAAACTGTTGACGATTTACCGTTGAGATGTGCGTTAGTTGGTTTTTACTGTGAATGTGACATTAGTCTCATGTATTACCTCACAAATCTTCCATTATTCTTGGATGTCAAATGTACGTTCAATCTTGTTTTCCTCTTGCCAGTACACAGATCAGCTGATTCCTTACCCATCACAACATTCACCCCCTACATCGCCTTTACCAGGTAATAAGATACAGTATATTTTTCCGTGTGTCTGCGTGTTTATCTACAGGTGCATATGTCTGTAATGTTACTACAATGTAATATGATGAGTTAAGTCAAGGTAAATCCATTT